GTAGCACCTTTAAGACCAAGTTTTATTCAGGTACAAGCTCTCCCTCCTCTGCGACGCGAAGACAGAGCCGCGCGCCCCCCCCCCAATAGCTAGCAATCCAAAACAGTCCAGTGGATCCTGAGCGGTGGGTGTTGCCTTCTGACACACTTCCGGTGATGTCAGGGGGTGTGGCATATGCAAATAAGTTACACTAATTAGTTATGCTAATGAGCTCCTGCACCTCTTTTTCTACGAAATGACCCCTGATGAGGCTTACTGGGTGAACGTGGTCCATGTATCATCTCTCAGCCTAACCCACTTTACAAGGAGGAGAGGACCATTTGTGCCTTGGAGGAAAGACAAGACAAAACTGTAGCACAAACTTAAGAGTCCCATGCCACCTATAAGGCCAACAAGAGTTTATTCAAGGTATGCGCTTTCATGTGCCAGGCACACTGTTTGAAAAACTGTGCCTTGCACACAAAAGCTTATACCCTGAATAAACTTTTTTTGGTCTCAAAGGTGCCGCTGGACTCTAAATTTGTTCTCCTGCCTCAGACCAACACGGCTGACCACCTGAAAGATAAAAACGTGATACAAATAGCAGTGTATCGCCAGACCAAGGATTATAACCAAAGAGGGGGAATCAGTGAGAAAACACAGCAAAATCATTTGAATGAGGGGCTCAGAGGAACACGTTCGCTTCCTCTCAGCTAAGAACTGTAAGAATCTGGCAAAATGGACACTGGCTTGGCATAAGCATGAAGGGGCCATCTTCTGCAAGACAAAAGACACTCAAGCTCAACAGGGCAAACAGAAACGTCTGCTCAAGTTACCCGAAGAGATGCAAAGTTACCCAGCCGCCACTTTCTTCTGATGGTGCAGTCCTAAGCAGTTATAGACCCAATCCAAGTCCATGGAATTCAAAGGACTCTGAAAGGTGTTAACTCCACTTAGGACTGTCCGGTAAAAGTCTTTGTCTTCTATTGCTTTGGGCACCCAGCACACTCCCAAGATGGGGCACTCGCTGGCCCCGGCCCCACAGGTCTGCCCCCAGGAGGCGGCCTGCATCTCAGCCTGTGACCCCTCATGCATGTCTAGCCGCAGAGCCAAAAGGCCTCTAGCCACAGAAGAATGAGGCAGTGGAGAGATGCTTATCGCTGACCCTTTGCCCAACAATGGAATGCTTCCACCCTGTTGCCCACACAGTGTTCTTCTTCCGGCTGATGAGTGAGGCCAGTTAATTGTTAAGCAAGTAAATTTCCACATTACCAGCCCAAAGAAAGATGGCAGCAGCCTCCTCCTAGAGACACGCGTCCCGTGCCGACAACGTGTCACTCTCATGACCGGCTCGGGAACAGGTATCCCCCCCTGCCCGCACGGTGTCAGTTTAATTCAGTGAGATGCCCTGCCTACATGTAGCGAAAGGCAGCGTAGAGATATGAGAAGTAAATGCTATGGCAGCGTTGCACAACTCTGGAGGGCGAGAGCTTTGCGGCACAAGTGGGGGAACTCCACGGGAGCCATATGCCCCCCGTTATTGAGGTATTACCCGGGATCCATCCACTACGAACCTATGAACTTCCTTTACATGGAATCAGATCATGGGTCCGTCTCTAGGGCTGCCAAGTGGGGGCGGGGGGCTTTGGAGGCCCAATTTCTGCCACAGCGGAATTGGGCCCCAGGGGGAACTCCGCCCCCCGAAGCTGCATCACCGGAGGTGACACAGCCACGTTGCTCACATTGGGGGCGTGGCCCAGATCGTCGGGGGGGGGGAACCTTATGGTTCCCCCCGACGATCTGGGCCACGCCCCCAACGTGAGTGACGTAGCACGTCACTTCCTGTGATGTGCTGGTGGCGCGCGTGCATCCTGGAAGAGCTCCCGGAGCCGGGCAAGGCTCCCCCACTGCCAAGCGTAAGTACACTTGCCAACCCTATCCGTCTCACCCAATCTGGCCTACTCCGTCAGTGGCCTTCCAGAGCCTTAAGTAGAGCCAGGGTTCTCCAGGTCCACCCCGGCCCCCAGCAGGTCATCACGGGGGATGCCAGTTCCAGGTTGGGAAATTCCTGGAGATTTGGGGACGGAGCCTGGTGAGGACAGGGACCTCAGTGGGGTGCAATGCCACCCCTCCCAAGCATTCATCTTCTCCAGGGGAGCTGATCTCTGTAGTCTGGAGATGAGCTGTGATTCCTGGAGATCCCCAGGTCCCACCTGGAGGCCGGCATCCCTAGGTAGAGTCCTTTCTCAGCCCTGCTGTCAGAAACAATCACATCCAACCAAAGATTCCAGACGTGCCACCTGGGCCATGCTACCCCCACCACCTATAGTTGCCAACCTCCAGGTAGTAGGAAAGAGCAAGAGTCCAGTAACACCTAAAGACTAACAACATTTGCAGCAGGGTGTGGGCTTTCCGGAGTCACTGCTCACTTCATCAGGGATCGGAAGGAGCCGTGACTCACGAAAGCTCCTCCCCTGCTGCAAATGTTGTTAAGGCTTCCAGTGCTCCTGGACTCTGGCTCTTTTCTCTGGCTACAGACAGACCCACACGGCTACCCCGTCTTGATCTCTCCTCCAGGCAGGCCTGGGCGATCTCCGGGAATTACAACTGATCTCCAGATTAAAGGGCGCAGCTCCCCGAGAGAAAATGGCTTGGGGCTCTTTGGCTTGGAGAAACGACGGCTGAGGGGGCAACATGATCGAGGTTTATAAGATTATGCGTGGGACAGGGCAGGTCGAGAAAGAAGTCCTTTTCTCCCTTTCTCACGATACAAGAACTCGTGGGCACTCCATGAAATTGCTGGTATTTCTGGCCACTGTGTGACGCAGAGTGTCGGACTGGATGGGCCATTGGCCTGATCCAACATTGGCGTTTTATGTTCTTATGGCTGCTTTGGAGAGCAGACTCTATGGTATTATACCCTGTTGATCCTCCCTGCAAACCCCGCCCTCCCCAGGCTCCACCCCCCCAAATATCCAGGAATGTTCCAACCCAGAGCTAGCCCGCCTACCTCCACCGGTGCGCAACAGATTAGGCATTAATCTCAGAGATTAGGCATTAATCTTGAAGACCTGTGATCAGCCAAGCAAATCTATAGATAGGGGTGCTCAGATCATGTTCAGCCCAACAGCTACCTAGCCAAGAAGAAGAGGAAGAGGAAGAAGAAAAAGAAGAGGAAGAAAAAGGAGAGGAGGAAGAGGAGGAAGAGGAGGAAAAAGAAGAAGAGGAGGAAGAGGAAGAAGAAAAAGAAGAGGAAGAAGAAGAGGAGGAAGAGGAAGAAGAAGAGGAAGAGGAGGAAATTGGATTTGTACCCCGCCCTTCACTACCCAAAGGTGTCTCAGAGCGGCTGACAAGCTCCTTTCCCTTCCCCTCCCCAAAACAGACACCCTGTGAGCAATGTTCCCTCTAAGCTGTGGAGTCTTGGGAGCAAAAATCCTGCTTTGTGAGCTCCTGGTATTAAAGTTGTGAGCAAGCGATTTGGCTACTGCATGAATTAGTTTGCTCTGGAGCCATCCTTCCTGAGCTAAGACAAAAATCTGTGAGCCGGAGGCTAAAAAACTGAGCTAGCTCACACTAACTCAGCTTAGAGGGAACACTGCCTGTGAGGTAGGCGGGGCTCAGAGA